CAAATTTTTTAAAAAGTTTAATCATAATATATATATATATATATATATATATTAATAAATTGATTAAAAAAAATATATATAAAAAAATATTCTTTCTACTTAATTATTGTATACATTGATTAAAAAAATTAAAATAGTAAAGATCATAAGATTGAATACATTAATTAAAAAAATAAAAGAGGAAAGATTGAAATATTTATGTTCTATTTATAATTTTTATTATAAAATATGTTTTAAAATAAATTATCATCTCAAAATTTATATTAGATATTAAAAACATGTTTATATCATAAATAAATTAAACTTGATTTTATAAAATTTAACATATTTATTTTTATATTTTTATTAGTATTAAATTATCATAAAGCAAGTCTTTAAATTTGTAGTTCTAACTAAATATTTAAAAAATGTTTATGACAGATAAATAAGAAATTTATATTTAGAACATGTATTTTTAAAGAAGGTTAGGTCCAAACCTACTAAATTATAATATAACCTAGTCTGACTTAGTTTATTTTCATCCTTAATCATAATCGTAGATATAAAAATTTGTAAAAAATAATTATAATACATATTTATATTTTTGAAAGTTATATGTAAAATTTTGCTCTCACTATCTAAAATTTCTGAATCCGTCACTGATTGTGATGATCATACTTGACATACGAATAAGGTAGAATTAGGTGATTAGATGGATTGATGGTGTTGAATCACGTTGAAGGTGACTCGTTTTGTATGATTCTTTTGGTAGAGTCATGTTTTGGAGTTTTCCACCAATAGTCTAGAGAATTATATTTGTAGTGCTTTAGACCATAGTGTATATAGTATATATATCGGATTCTTTTTATGTTGTGTACTTTTCATGCCGTTTATCTTATGCATGTATAGTTAGTTGTTTCTGTATGCTAATTTGTCTAAGATTATTTGTGTATGTTTTATTTTAGTTTTCGTCTTATTGTCAATTATTGGTAAGTGGTGTGACCTATCAAGTCTTTACAATTCTTGTAAATAAAAAAAAATATATAACTGAATAAGAAAGTGAAGAAAATGCATGTTAATTTCATAAATAATTATTCTTATATCTTATTTGCGTAATTAGAGTACAGTAGTTTTGTTCAAAGTAAAATTCGTTTGGAAGAAGATTAAGTACGTCTTGGCAGAAACTTGTCCCTGAGTTCAGCAGCATCAACCTCACCAAAGTGATTCTCAGGAATCCAATTTCCACTCTTTGGATCTCTCATCCAAAATATTTCTTTTTTATCATTGCCATTGCCATTTTCAGATGCTGACTTTGCCTTCACTGTTGTGCTTCCCACATGTGACCTTATACTTTCAGCTACAGAACCATAACATCGTTTCCTGCACCATTCTCTTCATATATAGTTAACAAGATAACAAATCATATAATTCAATAGCATCAAAAAAATGAATGAATGATAATAATACTAAACTTAACTAAGATACGTCTCAATAACTAAATTAATTAAAATAAATTGTTGTGTTCATAGAACATTGAATGTGAGAAGTTGGAGCAAATGCACGTTCGATCTTTATTGCCATCACATACAAAGTTATATAATTATATATAAAAGACTAGCAATAACAATATTTATGAATTATTATGATGTTGTATTTAAGATTTATCGAAAATAGGATCGATTATACAATACAAAAGAATTAAGAAGAATAGAGGGCATGACTTAACCTGAGAAGGAAAGAACGGTTGACAAGAATGTTGGCCATGAATATGATACGAAGAAACCGATGTTACAGTGATGATTGTATTTTGAGGGATGAAGGGTTCGTGTGCAAGAGTGGGTCTTATATAAGAGACATAATTAAGTTTTTCTTTCTTTTCTTTTTCTAACGACCAATTACCCAAGCAGTTATTCGTTATGTTCAGAAAGTGTGAGAATCCATGCCTTTATAGCTAGAATCTCATAATGCTTTATGACTTTGGCTCGTTTCTTATTGTTTACTTTTTCAATCAAATATCTGCGGGAAAATATTCTTTTAAAACATAAATAAAAGGATTATATATATATATAGAGAGAGAGAGGAGGGTTCAAACGACACCGGTGTAACTTTTACTAAGTGTTACACCGCTTAATAACTTTATATTAAATGTGAATTTTGAAAATCCAACCATTAGATTGAAAGTTCATATATCTTAGATCTTATATATCAAATTTTATATTAATCTAAGATGATTTGATACTTCATTCTCATAAAACAAAATTGACGTAATATATACATTTCAAAATATACTAAAATATGAACATTTTGATTACCTTCAAGTTGTTGTTCAAATTTAACAAAATTTGACATATATGATCTAAGAGATATGAACTTTCAATCTAACAGTTAGATTTTCAAAATTCACATTTAATATAAAGTTATTAAGCGGTGTAACACTTA